ACAAGCATCAAACCAAGAGACACCCTGTACAAAGACTACAAGATATCTAACAACAAAAAAAGACTTCTAAAAGGTGCTACAGACGTTATGCCAATCTGATGCCGGCAAACAATGAGTTGGAACATTACAGCTGGACAGAGTACTATTGTATGTCCTGAGGCAGTGGCAGGACACTTCAGTTCACACAGACACGTAACATTATAGGAAATTATATAGGTATCATTTTAGTAGGAAAAAACATTTTAGAATGGTCCTCATGTACGGTTATAGCAAGTCCATGCACAGCGTTGTTCAACACATTAAAACTATGTCTATTTTAAAGTCGATTGTTTGGAAATAAAAATGCATGCTTATGTTCATCACAACAGTTTTATAACGACATGTTATGAAGTTAAACCCATACAGTAACTCAATGAAAAGAGAAAAGAAAAAAAAAAATTGTCACTGGAAGTCGTTTACTGATCTGACCACCATAAACCCAAAATCTAAATTAGCTGCAACAGTTTACAAGTTAGGCAGCAAAATGTGTTGCTTCTATTACAATGACATGGGGAAGTGGATATTGCTTTTAATCAAAATTAACTTCCAGGTTTTGCTTATCAAATATAATCACAATTAAAATACATTAAAATCCCTGTTCTATATGCCATAATAATAAAAAAGTACTGCTTAATAAAAAACCAATTGCAAGCATGCAATTCATTTTTAAACCCATCAAAACACACTTGTTTTCTTTAAATTATCTTTGAATTAAATCAGAAAAAGAAGGTACAGTAAGCCTTCAACAGGAAGTTTACCACCTTGCGAGATCCTTTTGTGTTTTGTGAATAAAAACAGATAGACATGAAACAAAAGGAAATTTGTCTACACATAAAATATATAATATCCACCAACCTTACATTCCTGTATCATAACATTTTCTTACAATCAGGGGTATACATTAATTTTAAGGACAAGAACTGATGATCAATAGTATTATACCCCTACTGCAAGAAAAAAAAAAATGATCTACCAATCTGATTACTATGAGCAGTCGGAATTACATTAGTTTATGCCAGCAAGTTAATGAGCCTTGTTAAGAACCATAAAATTCTTATAAATGTATGATTTCGTACTGGTAATTCATACACACATATATATATATATATATATAATGTGTAATGTGAAGTGTAATTTTTAAT